TAATTGAAATGGCATCATCTCATTTAATCTTACTTACATGAACCCTGTGAGGTTGCTCTTATTGTTCTTGCTTTAGTGAATGAATAAACTGTAGTGCACACAGCTCACAGAGCTGGGACGCAAACCCAGAACTGTCTCACTCCAAATGCTGTAGTCTTGACTACTAAACCCCTACAGATGGATGGGCAGTGGAGCTGGGCTTTAAGGCTGCTCTGTCCTCTATAGGGCTATAGAGAGGAATTGATAAGGGACATTAAGATAAAGGGTAGACCCAGGTTTCTTGAATTGCTCTTCACATCCAACTGGTCAGGAGAGAGGTTAAGAGGCCAGGAGATTCCTGTTTGCTGGGAACCCTGGCCCAGCTCTCCCTCCCAAACACCTGTCCTATTTCAGCTGCCCTCAGACTTGGCTCAAGTGCTCTTCCTGCCTTCTCAGCCCAATAGGCTCTGCTGCCCTGGCCAAGCCAGAGTGGGGATCCTGAGTTAGTTCTTCCAGCTCTTTTGTGGATTCTTAGGCTGGAGTCCCAGGTACCATCTGGACAGGCTGAGAGATTGCCTTGGGTAAGGGCTGCATTTGAAGATTGCTGGGGAGAGGCTCCAGCTGATAACATTCACAAGATTCCCAGCCCCTGGGCCCAAGCTGCCTGGGTCCTGCCAGCTCCCTCCCCAGATCCCGATCAAGTTACAAACATCAGGCCTCTAGTAAGTTGACCATCTGTTTCTGAAGCCCCCCAGAGACCCAGGGATCATCTTACCTTCCAGTCTTGTCTTAATGCTCAGAGCTAAGCCCAAGGGGTGGGGGTGGGGGTGGAAGGGCAGGCAGAGAGGCTCTGCAGGGCTGGGCTGGGCTGGCAGCTGACCTGAGGCTTCTGGGTAGAAGCTGTTCCTGCCAACCTGGCCTTGCTGGGGAGGGAGGATCCAGCACTAAGGGAGAGTGGAGGACTGGCTTCTTCAGAGGTCAAGGAGAGTTTCGCTGGGGTGTGGGAATTGCCCACACTTTGTACACCTTCCTAAAACAGGGCTAGAAACGGTGGTTTGAGGACCCAGGGCCCCCAGGGATTTGCTTGGGTGAGGACATGCCATTTAGATGGCAGCAGGCAGAGACACAGAGCCCATGGTGTGTGCTTGCTATTAGTGGACCTTGCCCTGACCTCTTTGCTTCTACCTTCCTTTCAGAGGCACTGAGCTGCATCTGGGAAGAACCAGAGTACAGCAGGAGGAGACGCTAAGCCCCAAACTAAGCATGGTTCTTTCCTGGCAACTGCTTCTCCCTCTGACTTTCCTACCCCTCCCCACTCTCTAATCCATGTTCCTGTCACCCCTGCCTGGAACCTCAGTCATTTTTAGCTTCTCCTTTCAACCACCCTACTCCTGTCCAACTTAATCATGCACTATTTGAAGTCCTCCTCCCCCAGATGGTTCAAAGCTTCCCTTCTATGCCCTGGAAATCTGCAGAAGCCTTGGAGAAGGCCTCCCAGCCACCAGAGGACCAGGGCCTGGCCAGGTCTTCCTGACCTCCCATCACTGACTTGGTGGCTTATCATGGCCCAAAGACTCAAATCCAATTTGGTCCTGCTGTCAAGACCCACAGCAGGATTTTCAAACTCAGGCAAATCCCTGCCCCTTAAGAATACGCAGCAGGCTCCTGTGAGTGCCTCTTTGTGACCTTAAGAAGCTCTTACCTCAAGACCTGCTACTGAAGCACTGATCCTATGTCCTCCATAAGTTTAAAGGCTCAGTTGCTCATGAAATAGTTATTGAGCATCTATCGCTTGAGGGAAGACTAAGACCTACACATCGTTATGTCACCCTGGAACCTAGCTGGCTCCTTGCACTTGCTGCATACTCACAAACCGTATGTTGAGTACCACTGGCTTCCCCAGATCACCCTCCAAACTGCTTGCATCCTTCAGACAGTCAACTGCCGCTCGAGGAGAGAGAGCCGTTGCTCAAGGTTTCATTTCACCAAGCGGCAAGGAGTCTGAGCTGGCAGGCTTCCTTCCAGAAGGCAAAACACAGTCCAGGTCAGAGGCAGTGGGAGGAATGAAATGACCCCATTCAGTCTCTTCCAGGGTGGAAAAATCCATAAGAAATAATGCTGACATTTTGTGCAGTTTTCCAGTGAAAACGAATGTGTGGGTATGTGGGTATGCATGAATTCAGGGCTGCCCATAAAACAGAGGCCCCATTTAAGTAAACAAGGGCTGAAATTGTGCCTGTATGGAAAATAACATTCTCTATTAGTTAAGATCTTGAGTTCTGGAGACCAAAGTAACAGGGTTCAAATCCTAGCTCTGACACATAGTAGCTGTGTCGTTTGGGCAGATTATTAAAATTCTGTTTTCAGTTTCTCCATCTTTAAAATGGGAAGGCTGGGGTTGTGGCTCAGAAGTAGAGCGCCTGCCTACCATGCATGAGGCACTGGGTTCGATCCTCAGCACCGCATGAAAATAAAAAATAAAGATATTATTATAACGAAAAATAAATTTTTTTTTTTAAAATGGGAAGAAATTCCTGCCGTGTACAGCTATTGTGCAAATTAAATGAAGTCATGTGTATCTCTGCATGACACACATAAAGCATCAGATGAACAATGGCTGTTAAGACTTCCTGTACTTGCAGAACACTTCTTCCTCAGTGAAATTCAACACAAGGTA